AGTAGCCATTTGATTCAACTTTTGAAACAAGTCCAAAACAGAACAAGGCAAATATACTTCTGTAGCTACTGATGTATCAAGTCATCAACCACTTACATGTGCTAAGATATAAAGAAGATTCCACCTTGGAAAATCATATACTAGAATGGAGAAAACATTGATTGCTTCAATCATACGAGTAGCTTTGTCTTTTACCATAATTGTTTATTCCAACTACATACCTTTTTACTCTCATTAATAATGGATATTAAAATTAGAAAATAATGGTAATTTTTATGCTATTCTTTGTGGTGAAAGTTTTAATTTCATGCAAGATATAATTGATTTTTAAGTGCCTCTTCAAGATTTGTTCTTGTAAAGAAGACCAATGGCATTAAAACTTGTAAAACAAATATGTTGAAAATTCTTCTCAACATCCCACCTTACGGAATGGAGAGATTAGTTATTCCCTTGGATTATAGAAGACTTAATCTTGCCACACTAAAAAGAATTGAAGGCTACACTAAGAAATTGGAAGTTTCTCTTCGATCACTCAAAAGATAAATTAAAAATTAAGAAGAAACTTTCACTAGGCCAAAGCAGCTAGATTGCTTACAAATTAGTTTCCTCGCTACCAAAATTGGAAACACATAAAACTGTTGAAACTTGAAAACAAAAACGGTCAAAGATCACTTTTAGCCCGGAGTCAAAATTATTTAATATTCGATCGCCACAAAAGTAAATAATATATATATATATATATATATATATATATATATATTTATCGGCTATTATTTGATAGCTAATAATAGCAGTTATACGGTGTTATTTTCGCAACAAAAAATAGTAAAAATTCTTGTTCACATTTGAGGAGCTTACGGCCCAAAATTCTGGGATTTCTGAGAGCCCAATTCATCCGAAACACAAAATTAAACGGCCCATAAAAGCAGTTCATCTCAGTGGACCAAAAAGTAGTTGAGATAAACAAGCATCTTAGTGGTGCGTTCGAATTGGGACAAGTGCATAGATAAGTATTTTCAAAGATGTTATTAGGAGATTATTCAATACTTATTTTGTTTTTAATTTTTAAACTTAAAATGTTAAATTCAGGACAATTCAGAATATTTTTATCCTGAAAAATTAAACAGGAAAACTGAAATTCAGGACGAACTGGCTAATTCCTAAACAACAGCCCTCTAGATCTAATGGCTACGAGATGTCATTTTTACATTCGAATTCTATTAGTTGTTCAAACACTTTCGTGTGCAGAATAACGAGATTAGCCCCATTTATTTTGAAAAAAAGAAAAGAAAAGAAAAGAAAAATCAAATCAAAGCAAAGAGAACTGGAAGGATCGCATGTATATAATTATGTATCAAATAAACACAGTGGTGAAAAAAAAAAACAGCTGAAGTATTAACTAATAAGTTAGTTTGATGGATGAAATATGGCATTTAATTTAAAAAAAGCTTGATTAGCTAACAATCTAGTTCTTGCATTTTGTGAAAGCTGTTCAAGAAATCATTAGTGAAATTGTGCCAAACATTTCTGAACATCCAAGAATAGAACTAGACATGACTAGTACTGGTGCACATATAATAGTGGTGCAAGATTTTCCTACGTTGGAAGTATCAATTTAAATTGAAAATGGTAATGAAATATTTTACACAAACATATAGGGAGCAAAACTAATTTGGTAAAGCAACTCTTGAAAGCTTGAGAGTTTGTGTGTGGTTGGGGCAGATGCGGAGTTAGGATTTGAAGCTTATGGATTCAGGATCCTAATCCTTTTAAGTTACTGAGTTCTAAATTAATAATTTTGTATATATTCAATAGATTTTTAAAACAAATACATGAATTGGACCAAAACAACTGGGTTCGGCCGAATCCATACTTGATGGGCTAGCTCCGTCCCTGGTTGGGAGTGTAGTTGGCAACCCCACCAGCACCCTGCACACAATAACAATATTAATTACAGTAAAATAGAAACGCAAGCTGTTGAATATATAAGCAATTAAGCATGACGACATTGTAAAGTAAAGCCTACTACCGGAGCTAGTTAAGAAGTGCGCTATCAGTTCATTAAAAATGCAATTCTGTATTATTTTTCTTCAATTATGATGCCAGTATCTCCGCCACCAAATCCAGAGAGAAGGATATGGTTTTCTATAAGTCAATAATCTCTCCTGTTTAACACTGTTTGGAAAATAAATAATTTTTTCATTGACTACATGTGTTACTACAAAATAATTGTGATTAATATTACTCTTAATGCAGTTTTAATTTAAATATGTAATTTTTTTTTGTAATAATAAGAAATGAATATTATTGAAATTCACTTAAAATATTAGTACTATAAATTAACGAGGAAGGATACTGATCTTGTATTGAGCTAAGCAAANATATATATATATAGCATGTTAAGAGTTTTGATTGCAATTTGCGAGGGCGGCGTTAAGATAAGGTAATACGGTCAATGTGAAAACTTAAAAGCATGTAATATAACCATATATAATCACCCTCCTATACCCCCAAAGTTTTCACCCTACCACCCCGCAATATAAATCAAAAAGAAAAAAAGGGATAATGATATGAAGCTTAAATTAAAGGAAAAAGGTGCAAGTCCCCCTTTTGTATTTAATTTTGAAGATAAAATATTGTCTAATAAATTTCTTTGATATTACCTAGTGTTACCTTATTTTGGATTGAATATCCATTCTAATACTCGTTAGTTTCAAAATTTCACGTTTAATATAAGTGAATTCCTGTGCCAAGCGACTTAATTTCATGAAAACAATCATGGTATTCCAGGATTTAATCATGTCAAAGAGACATCAATTATTCTCATTGTGTCTCTTACCAATCATTGAATTAGAGAACATTATGATCCTTCAGAGCTATAGAATGTGTGTGGACGCTAATTATAGATGACTATATGAACAGTATTGATTTCTTAGTAAAACTTGAGTCAATCTTTGCGTCTCTCATCGCAAAAGTATTGCTGTTAGAATTTGTACCATAAAAAAAGCTCAATCTATACTCGTTTTCTTCTCCATCACATGCTTCTCATCAGAAAAAGTGTATGCCGAGACAAAATTGCACTTTTTAGGGTATTCAAACTCTAAAAAAATATATTTGAATTTTGGTTCTAATTAATTTAGGAGTGTACCGTTTCTTTACTTAAGCTACAAGGGGCTCCTCGAGAACAATAACAACAACAGACCCAGTATATTCCCTACCCAATGAAGTTAGAGAGGTTATTTTCAAAAGACCCTCAACTACTCGACAAGCATACACACAAATTAAAATGTAGTTTCTAGCTATTTTCTGTTTTCTTGACTCAAGCAAATGAGTAATTTGCCGAATGATTTTACGTGTCACAACTTTTAGGGACGTTTCAGAAACAAATCATTAATAGAAATAGCGGACACATGAAACACGAGAAAATAACTACATCTTGTCAATGGTTAGTGACATGACTTCCCTCAATATTAGGGCAAATGAGGGACATGAGCAACGAAATAACCAAAATAATGTTAGTTGTAACAATTATCCTTGTAAAAGGAATGATGTAGGATTCAGTTATAGGAAGGATTGCATTATAGTAAATATATTTAAGCACTGCATTTATACATGCTCCAAATGATCGAAAGATAGATTAACGACAGATTTTGCCCTCTCAACTATTTTATAGGCGGACCTCAATTTTCCAAACAGTAACCTTAAATCATTGTTATGTCGTATCTGGCCTCCCCCCGCCCCCCAGCCGGCGTAAATTTTGCTTAATCCACATGCTAAGTAAGTTTACCAGATATCTATGTGGAATTAAACTTGTGGACCACGAAATGGCCTGAAGGAGCTTAGCCACCAGTTAGAAACTTTTTCCAAATAAACTAACGGAGAAAAACATAACCTAAAAAGTTGTTTTCCCCTTTTAATGGAAAATATTTTGCAAGGAAAGCATTTCCTATTGTTTGGTTGTCAGATAATGATTTAACTTTTGGAAGAAAATTATCTTGAAAATGTTTTATTTTAACGGAGAAAAACACCCGCTTGGTTTTTTTACCAGAGTGGAATTTCACGCAGCCATCTCTAGTCTAAAGTCTGAATTAATAAGTTATAAGTACGGAGTAGTACATTTGGTGTTTGGTAAACATTTTCATGTTTGACTCGACAATGGAGCTGGGTATGAAAACTATAGTTTGACATTCTATAGGCTCAAAACAAATCTTCCCAGTATCACTCGTATATTTTTGGTTTAATTTCCTTTCTTTCACTTGTTCTTTTCTTTTCCTTTTCCTTTTCCTTTTCTTTTTCCTTTTCCTTTCTCCTTTGTCCAAAATCAGATAGGAGCGATAAATTACTTGCTGCATAATGGAGGAGTTCTGTTTGACATAAAGCTTAAGAGAACATAGTTTTTGCAGACTCCAAATATTAAAGAATATAATATGCTGAAAACTCTCTTTTCTCTCGTCTGAATATTGTTTTATCTTCTTTTTATTTTTATCTATATTTTCTGATGAATAATAGAAGACATTATTAATGAATATGAAGTCAAAGTTAATATTAAGCAAAAGTGTAAAACTGTAAGCTAATGGATGGAGTATCTATAGTAAATCCTTTAGGTAAACTCAGGGCTCGAGATGTTTAATTGTATGTTCTTAACATAAAAGAAGATTATTTACTCATAATATCACGGATCTATTTATGCTTCAGCTGACTCAAACCAATAAACTAAAGTCCGAAGCTACGAATAGAAAATCTAATTGAATTGGAAGTAAGAAAACGCATTAACATGCCGTACTTCCGTGTAGCAAAAACAAATCATATAAAATAATAAAATCACTAGAGTTGGTTTTTTCTAGGTACATAATTTTGATTTCTATAGTTTAAAAGACAACACTGGAAAAGAACGAATAAAGAATACTTAGAGAAGCAAGATGAGAGGGAAAGGAAATCCTCAAACTCAAACTTTATGTCCACCGGTTACATTGAAAAAAAAGAATGATAATAAGACAACAAACAACTGGTATGTATAAATAAAAAAAACTGCAAAACAAAATCCACCTAACAATACAAATTACTATAGAATTTGAATGGATCACCAACTAAAAAATGTAACAACTGTTCCATCCAAATGTCCCTAGAGAAGAAAACCACAACAATCACGAAAAAGAGAAACAAAGTTTCGGACGGTATCGGTATTTACATAAAATCATCAAAATTTAAACTCGCTGGGATTTCGAATTTCATTAAATTACTGCAGTAGCTCTCTTTCTCATCTTCTGTGCTAGACAAAGGCGTCGACAACACTGAATCTAAGCTGATATTCTGATTGCTGCTGTTGTTAAGTGATTGGAAAGTTGAATTATCAGAAGTATCAGAAGCACAATAACCATAGTTTTGCGGAGGTAGCATTTGGTCATTCATCAAATAGGATTCCACGTGTCCTAATTGCATGGGCTGTGAAGATGAACAAGGAACATTTGATGGGGTACTGAAAGTTGGTATTTCTGGAATCTGATTTTGGAATTGATTATTAGGTTGGAAATTTTGAAGCTGATTTTGCATTGGGGCATTCAATAATTGATTTTCTTGAAGCTTTTGTAGCAATAATTCAGACCCTTCAAGATTTTGAAGTTGAGTGTTCAACAATTGATTTTCTTGAAGTTTTTGTAATAACAATTCAGGGCTTTCATTTTGTGATGCCAAAAGAGTAGTTGCAATTCTGAAGATCTCAGGGTTTATAAGTGCTTGTAACCCAAGTAAACTCGAAAGGTTAAATTGAGTTGAATTTAGAAGGGATGATAAGTCTAATAAATCAAGACGAGGACTATGAGTAACTGGATCAATACCACTCCTTAGAAGCCTTTTTCTTATGTGAGTATTCCAATAATTCTTGATTTCATTGTCTGTTCTTCCTGGCAAACGAGCCGCTATAGCTGACCACCTAAGCACAAACGTAAAACAAACATATAAATATTAAGTATATTGCAGTAAAGAAAAAAAATAGCAATGACTAAAAATCATAAAAAAGAAAAGAATGATAGTTATAGTTTCTTGTTTCTTACTTGTTGCCAAGAACACTGTGAAGTTGGATAATAGTTTCTTCTTCTTCAAATGAGAAACGTCCCCTCTTAATATCAGGCCTTAAATAATTCGTCCAACGAAGACGACAACTCTTTCCACACCTTTGAAGTCCTGCAAATTTGTTTTAAAAAATATTTATAACCTAGCACCATATTCATAAAATATATGGCAAAACACTAAATTTTCTAACTTGAAGAAAAATTTGGGATGAATAAAATATATACCAGCATTCTTAGGAAGGGTTCGCCAATTTCCAGGACCATGAATTTGAATATATTGGATAAGTTTATGATCTTCTTCTGTTGTCCATGGACCTTTCTTTAGTCCATTTTTATCACAACAAGGTGATCTTCCCATTGTTTTTTTTTCCTCTCTCTAGTTGTTATGAAGCTGATTAATTTAGAAGGTTGGATTTTGGAAGTGTTCGAATAAAGAAACTCAAGTTTTCTAGTAAAGAAGAACTTTTGAGAATAAAAGTGAACTTGTAGGACCTTAATAGGATAATGTCCCATATTTATAGCAAAGAAAATAGATTGAAGTCAATAGTATTTGGCGCCGGCCTCGTTTTATGTCAATGCCTCAATCTCTTTGTCCGCTGTCATTTGAGGGTGAAATGTACAAAAGTTACTTGGGGAAATAAAATATGGAAAAATAAATATTGGTATATTCTTTCGTCAACTGTAAAATTATTTGGACTTTATCTGTAAAAAGAAAATGTGAATTTTTTTGGATGAGTGAATTGGGACAGGTGGCAACCAATTAGTGGTTTTGACCTTTACATCAAAGTCTTCAAACCGAGAATTATTAGTCGGTATGGTAGTTAGGTTTCTCCTACCAATTAAAGATTGTCAAGGTTTCATTTGTTTCAGTGTTTTTGCTTCTTTGTAACAAAAATATAACTTTTGAATTCAAATTCTTAGATATGCATAGTCCACATAAAATCTCATAAATTACGTAGGCTATCATCAGCGTATCTGCTCGAGTTCAGTTAGTCCTCTTCGTGTCACTTTTTAGAAGCTTAATCTCGGAGACAAAGTTTTGATAATTAATTAAGTGAAATAAAATATACTACAGTCATTGTATTCTTTGACATGCATCCCCTGAGGAAGCCAGTATATAAGCTTAGAGATAATATAGTAGCGATATATATATATATATATA